AATGCTGCTGTTTACTCTACAGGGTTGATTACATGTGTTTATGACTGTGATGTTGGGTTTTAATGCACATAAAATATTTTAGGACACTATTTGTTTCAGAATCTTTTTTTCTTCATTTCCCTTCTCTAAAAACTGGTGCGTCTTATGGTCCGGAGCGTCTTATGGTCCGAAAAATACGGTAATTGCTTACGACATACAGGAACTCATATTTTTTCATGTGCTTAATAGTGCTTTGCAACATTACTTCCCCACACCCACTTTTCTATAAAGTCCATGTTTTTGGCAACCAAGCATTCAGCAGGTCTAGTGCTATCACGTTTCTAGGAAGCTGAGATGCTTGTTATTTGTGCTTAGCAATTAAAAATTGTTAATGAAGCTATATAGACTTTGCTTTTGAGGCAGGGTTATTGCATTGTTATCGGCAGAAGAGTATGAACATACCTTCATTATTGCTGGGGAACTGTAACTATTTGTGTTAATTTTTGTCTACGTTGCAATATTCACTTTATTGTGCTGATCATAGTCGAATGCACAATATCACCAAGGAATTCCTTCTTATAGTTTGTACGTGTTCTCTTCTGTTCTCTAGATTGCCCCCTTTCATTTTATTTATTGATGTTGTGCTGTGAGTATGCTATTTTCCTTTATTTGTTGCAGGGTGGTCTGTTTGTTTTTTCTATTCTGTGTGGTGGTTGGTGTCACATTAAGAAACTTCTGTCCAAAACAAATCTCCAAACCTTTTTCTCTAGGTGTTCCTGAGGGGTTTTAAGTATTAGCGTTCACGTTTAATTCTGTCCCGGAGGTTGAGTTACATTTTATCAGTGGTGTCCAGGTTTTTTGTTTTACATGTGAATGTCAAATCTTGAAGAAACTGTCTTTCCTCTCTTCTCTGACTTGCAGCTTTGTCAAAGGTCACTTAAAAGTATGTGCCTGGTTTTATTTTTATCTTTTCTGTTCGTTTTATATATGTGTCTGTGTTTATCCAGTAACACACTGTTTGTTTGCTTTCTCTTTGTAATAAATTGAAGTCAGGAAGTGTGATGCCACCAGCTTTGTTCTCGCTCAGAATTGCTTTTGTTAACGGAGGTCTTTTGATTCCATTTCCAATTTTCTATTCATTTCTTTGTATAATACCGTTGGAATTATTGGGATTGCATTTAATCTGTAGTTTGCCTTGTGTATTGTAGCTATCTCCACTATATTTCATTTTCACATCCATGAACACAGGTTGTCTTTCAAGTGATTTGTGTTTTCTACCATTGCTTTCATCACTGTCTTATCGTACTTACTGTACAGATGTTTCACATTTTGGTTGCATTTGTTCCTGAGAACTTTATTGTTTGGGTGTGCTGTTGCAAATTTGATGTTTGTATGTTTATTTTGCATCCTGTCATTTTTCTGTACTTAATTCTTTATTCTTCTGTTATCTTCACCTGCATAGTAAGGATATGTTTTCCATTGATCTTTTAGAGAGAGACAGAGAAACATCAATTGGTTGCCTCCAACATGTGCCTCTATTTAGAGTGGGGATCAGATCTGCAACACAGGTACCTACCCTTGACTGGGACTAGAACCCTAGCCGTCCAGTTCACAAGCCAGCATTCTCATCAGTGCAGCACAGTTGCTAGGGATATTAGTTTATTCTTTAGATCACATGTGTCAAACACAAGGCCCGCGGGCCAAATCCGTCCCGCCAGGCCTTGCAATGTGGCCCGCACCGCGCTGTCATCACTGCACTCCGCTGCGTTTCCCATCACAATGACAGTTTATGACTGTTCAGTAAACCATTTGGCCCGTGATTTAGGCTGGATTTTAGATTTTGGCCCCTTCTCTGATTGAGTTCGACACCCCTACTTTAGATTATTTATTTATTTATTTAAATACTTGTGGGGTTTTTTTTGTGTGTTTTTTTTCCTAGAGGAAGAGGAGAGATAAAAACATCAATGATGAGAGAGAATCATTCATCAGCTGCCTCCTGCGTGACCCTCACTGGTGATTAGGCTCACAACCAGTGCAGGTGTCCTAACAAGGAATCCCATTGTGACCTCCTAGTTCCGTGGTCAGCAGACTCATTAGTCAGCAGTGCCAGATATGAACAGTACAATGATTAAAATTTCTTTTGAGAATTAAATTTTTTAATCTTAAACTATATAGGTAGGTACATTGTTATTAACTTAATAAATAAGGATACTCCTAAGCCTGCCTTTGCTAAAAACTCAAGGGTCCAAAGAGCCATAGGTGGCTCACAAGCCATAGTTTGCCAACCACTGCCCTAGTTCATGAGTCAATGCTAAATCAGTGTGATATACCAGGCTGCATTTATTTATTGATTTTAGAGACAAAAATGGAGACAGAGAAAGAGAGTGAAGCATTGATGTGCTGTTTTACCCATCTATGCATTCATTGTTTGTTCCCTACATGTGCCCTTGTGGGGGATTAAACCCACAACCTTGGTGCATCAGTACCACATGCTCAACAACTGAGCCATTTGGACAGGGTTTTGAATTTGTTTATTAATTTCAGGAACTCATGGTGGGTTTTGATAAATTACTATACGGATGGTCATGTCATCTGGTAACATCAACATCTCTTTTTATTTATTTATTTATTTATTTATTTAAGTATATTTTATTGATTTTTTACGGAGAGGAAGAGAGAGGGATAGAGAGTCAGAAACACTGACTCTCTTGACCGGAATCGAACCTGGGACCTTTCAGTCCATAGGCCGATGCTCTATCCACTGAGCCAAACCGGTTTCGGCAAGCCGATGCTTCATCCACTGAGTCAAACCATCTAGGGCTGACCGTTATTTTAAAATGCATTTTTATTGATACATGAGAGGAAGGGGTAGAGAGATTGAGAAAGATATTATTGAGGAGAGAGTATCATTGATGAGCTGCCTCTTGCATTACCCTGCTGGGGAAAGAATCCACAGCAAACTGGGCATGTGCCCTTGCCTGGAATGGAACCTTGGACTTTTCAGTCCAGAGGTTCCCACTGTATCCACTGAGCAAACCACCTAAGGCTGAACCTTGCTTGCTTTCTTTCTTTATTTACCCTTGTTTTTGATCTTAGGTATCTTCAAATGTCTTTGCTCACCCAGTTTCTTGTCATCCTTTCTATGCAGTTGTCCTTTTTGGTATTCTATATTACTATGTTTTTTTTTTTTTTTCATGGTACTGTTATTTTCATTTCCTGAAGGATTTTTTTTCCCAGGGATAGCCATCTACCTTCTCTGGGATGGGGAAAGATACTCTATCTCTGATTCTGCCATCTTGCTGCTGTCACTCTCATAGGTCTTTTGTGATCTCATTTGTGCTTTGTTGTTCTACCATAGTGCTGCCATCGATCTTTTTAAGATTGGCATCATTTATTCCATGCAGTGGCTCAACTAGGATTTAAGAGGCAGAATCATTTCTGCATCACAGAAGAAACATGACTTTATCAATGACAGGGTAGACCCAGAGTCAGTCTTGCTTTGGTGAAGGACTGTGGGGTGATTTTCATGCCTGGGCTTTGTTTCAGTCATAACTAGGAACCCATTTTTTTCAACAATGTTTTGTTACCATTGCTCACTCCTCACCCAGTTCTACTTCTTGCTTAATGTTGACACTTTGCATACGCATCAGTTTTAACAGTGATCATCCTACTCGGATTAGCAGCCCATGGATAACCTTAACCTCTTTAAACTTTGCACCTCTACCTCTTTCACACATCTCGCTTTACTGCACTCCAATGTTGTTCCATGCCTGCAGAGCCTTATAGTGCCCATATGTTATATTGATGCTGAACATCACCCGCTCTAATATGATTGTTAGTTTATGGCAGTAGTTCTCAACTTTTCTAATACTGCGAACCTTTAATACAGTTCCCCATGTCATGATCCCCAACCATAAAATTATTATTTTTTTTAAATATTTTATTGATTTTTTTACAGAGAGGAAGAGAGAGGGATAGAGAGTTAGAAACTTCGATGAGAGAGAAACATCAATCAGTCGCCTCTTGTACACCCCCCACCGCGGATGTGCCTGCAACCAAGGTACATGCCCTTGACTGGAATCGAACCTGCAACCTTTCAGTCCTCAGGCCGACGCTCTATCCATTGAGCCAAACTGGTTTCGGCCATAAAATTATTTTTGTTACTACTTCATAACTATAATTTTTCTATTGTTAATGAATCGTAATGTAAATATCTGTGTTTTCCGATTGTCTTAGGTGACCCTGCTGGTGGTTCTCAACCTGTGGATCGCAAGATTGAGAACTGCTGCTATAGAGCCTAAAACCATCAGAAAGCACAGATATTTACCTTACGATTCATTAACAGTATCACAATTATAGTTATGAAGTAGCAACGAAAATAATTTTATGGTTGGGGGGTCAGGCCAACATGGGGAACTGTATTAAAGGGCTGTGGCATTAGAAAGGTTGGGAACTGCCATAACCGGTTTGGCTCAGTGGATAGAGCATTGGCCTGCGGAACTGTCTCAGGTTCAATTCCGGTCATGGGCATGTACCTTAGTTGCGGCCACATCCCTGGTGTGAGGTGTGTAGGAGGCAGCTGATCGATATTTCTCTCCCATCAATGTTTCTAACATTCTATCCCTTTCCCTTCCTCTCCGTAAAAAATTAATAAAATATATTTAAAAAATAATAAAGAAAGGTTGAGAACCACTGGTTTATGGGTTTGAACACATTGGAATTATTCTTCACAGATTCACACCATTAAAGGTCCTAAAGGAAGCCATTTGTGGAGTAATAACGAGTAAACCCTGCCTCTCTTTTTTGTCCCAGCCTGTCCTCCTTTGGTGAGATTTTTATCATCCAGTGACCTTTTTTTTGGGCCATGTTATATATATCAGCCATTTCCTGAGAGTCTGACTTCCTTGTCTTATAAATCATTGTATGAAATCATGTCCAGTTATAAAAGATAAACATTTGTGGTGAAAACTTCTGTTTTTATCAGGTCAACATGCACTTTACCTACATTTATTTTTGTTCAGGTTGCTGCTGTGGAGAAGAGAATGTGGAAGCCCCGGTTTCTGAAAGAGTGTCACAGGCAAGGAATCCCAAGATAGCCTTGTCTTCCCAGAAGAGCCACCCCTGTGAGAGTTGTGAGCTGGTCTTGGGAAACACTTTCCTCGTGATGCAGGGGCAGGGAACACAACACGGACAGGTACTGTTGAGATGTGGGGCATGTGCAAAACGGTTTTACTTCCGTGTAAAAGTTCACCAACAACACGAGAGAGAGAAGATTTTCCATACAGGTGTGGACAGGATCTCACTTGCAAACAGGTGTGATTTCAATGTGTTCCAGAATCATTTCACATGTGGGAAAGTTGGGCAGGATGTGCCTACCGGGTCAGGACATCTCCACCTAAAGGCTACTCACACCAGGGACATTCCAAATGCTATTCCGACGTGTGGGATGATGTTTCAAAGGAGAAAAAATGATTACACCAGAAAAGAATATAAGGAAGATAGTTGCACACACATGTTTATTCAGGAGAAGGGTATCCATGTTGGAAGTCAGTGTTTTGTGAACTCTGAATGTGGAAAATATTTTACCAAATTATCTAGCTTTCATTATCCACAGCAAGGTGACACTGGAGAAAAGCCTGCTAAATGTAGTGAGTGTGGGAAAGCCTACACTAGTAGCACTGAACTTTGTCATCATCAAAAAGTGCACAATGGAGAAAGGCCTTATCACTGCAGTGAATGTGGCAAATATTTTACCAGGATGGGTGATCTTCGTCGTCATCAAAGAATTCACACTGGGGAAAAACCTTACCAATGCAGTGAATGTGGGAAATCTTTTACCACTAGCAGTGATTGTCATCGTCATCAGATAATTCACACTGGAGAAAAACCTTATCAATGCAGTGAATGTGGAAAATCTTTTACCCATAGGAGCATCCTTCATCAACATCAGAGAGTTCATACAGGCGAAAAGCCTTATAAATGCAGTGAATGTGGAAAATCTTTTGCAGGGAGCCATGCTCTCCAATATCATCAGAGACTTCACAATGGAGAAAAGCCTTATAAATGCAGTGAGTGTGGAAAATCTTTTACATGTAGCAGTGGCCTCCAATATCATCAGAGAGTTCACACTGGAGAAAAGCCTTATCAATGCAGTGAGTGTGGGAAATCTTTTACCACTAGCAGTGATCTTCATCGTCATCAGAGAATTCACACTGGAGAAACACCATATAAATGCAGTGAATGTGGGAAATCTTTTGAAAGTACCAGTGGTCTCCAATATCATTGGAGAGTTCATACGGGTGAAAAGCCTTATCAATGCTGTGAATGTGGAAAATTTTTTAGTGCTAAAACCATCCTCCAGAGACATCAGAGAGTTCATATGAGAGAAAGGCCTTATAAATGCAGTGAATGTGGGAAGTCTTTTACCCAGAACTATGCCCTTCGTTATCATCAAAGAGTTCATACAGGAGAAAAGCCTTATAATTGCAGTGAATGTGGGAAAACTTTTAAAAGTACAAATGGTTTCCGATATCATTGGAGAGTTCACAGAGGAGAAAAGCCTTATCAATGCAGTGAATGTGGAAAATCCTTTATGTCTAAGAACGTTCTTCATGAACATCAGAGAGTTCATACGGGAGAAAAGCCTTATAAATGCAGTGAATGTGGGAAATCTTTTGCCCAGAGAAGTGCCCTTTGTATTCATCGGAGAGTTCATAGGTGAGAAAAAGCCTTATAAATGCAGTGGATGTGGAAAATCTTTTAAAAGTATCAGTGCTTTTCAATATCATAAGGGAGTTCACACTTGAGAAAGCTATTATGTTTGCAATTAATGTGAGGTATCACTCAGCCAAATTTCTAAATTTTTTCTCTGCATGACAGTCCAAATATGTCTTAGATGTGTAGTTAATGTAGTTTCTTAGTTTGGACTTAAGAATGATATAGGAAAATTTGTGACTCCTCATTTTTCTAAATTATATCTCATACATTTAATCATCTATATTATTTATATTTCCCATAAGTGTTTTTGCTGTTGTGTTTGTGTTATGTTTGAATACTATAATTATGTTGCACTTTCTAACATACAGAGATGTCTTGCCAGGTCCATGTCACTGCATATTTCTGTTGTGGAAGGTATTTCACCTGAACCATATATAAGCTCTGTACAGATGGTATCAATCATCATCCACGTGTGACCTGAGCAGCTAACTCTGTTTTCTAACTTTTTTAAAAAAATAATTTAAAAATATATATATATATTTTATTGATTTTTTACAGAGAGGAAGGGAGAGATATAGAGAGCTAGAAACATCGATGAGAGAGAAACATCGACCAGCTGCCTCTTGCACACCCTCTACTGGGGATGTGCCCGCAACTCAGGTACATGCCCTTAACTGGAATCGAACTTTTCAGTCTGCAGACCGACACTCTACCACTGAGTCAAACCGGTTTCGGCTGTTTTCTAATTTTTTGTAGAAAATTAGGAATACTGGAGCCCGTAGTTCTTTGTTGTTTCCCTTTTATGTGTTGTCACATAGGACTCATTACTGTTGGTGCCAGTAAACATAATGTTGCTGAGAGACTGATATTTGCAGGGACAAGCTTGTCCTTTAAGCCAGTGATAAGTTTATTGAGTGCCTAAGTCTTCATTGGGATAATTGCCAATCTCATGTCTCTTTAATCTTTTTTTTCCCCTTTTTTCAAATTATTTTTTTAAAGACTTCTTTAGCTTGGGTGTTCTAATTACTGTATAGGTTATTTTATAAGGATATCTTGGCTTTCCAAGCATGATGAGGTGAAAAACTTTTATGGGGGTCTCAAACTTATTTTTGCCCTTGGGGATACAGTATAGAGCAGAAATTAGCTCATAGGTTTTTAGATAATTTACATTGCTGCTCATATTTTCCTAGGAAAAACTGGACAGTCTAGTTCTCATGTGAAGATGGATTCTTTGAGACACAGAGATCACTCCCAAGAGGGGGGTAGCTGTGACAACCTCAAGTATGTCTGGGAGCATGAATTTTTTCTTGTTTGCAAGGGATGCCAATACATGTAAAGGGAATCTCTTGCCCAGGTCTTCCAGAGGGCCATGTGTCCTATGGCCTACAATTCCATGGGTGATGGTCACTGGTTTGAAGACCAGAGCTGTGAGGGGAAACCCTTTCACTACAGAATGGTGCTCATCTAAATGTGCATCCATTCCAGCTCCTTCAAAAAAAAAAAGGGGGGGGGGGGAATTCCAGCTCCTTAAAAATATAAAAAAATAAAAAATAAATGTGCATCCAGTATTTATTTTGAATAAAAAACTATGGATCTGTGTGTACACAGGTCTGAGGGATAAGCTTGTCCTATAAGCCAGTGATGTTAATTTTTGGAGCAGTCATTGTCATTGATTATAATCAGGATGTTTTGTGGTCCTATAGCTTCTCAGAAATTACCATCAGAACCATTGGTGTGGTGGCAGCAAAATGAAGATGGAGACAAAGACTGTCTTTAGTTCAGGGATGTGGCTCATGTGGGTTTCAAACCCCCACCCCAAATAATAAAAGTTCTTCATTATTTGTTACATTTTCTCACACTGATATGAGTCTCTCACCCAGAAGGCATAAATATGGGGATTGAATATAGAGTTGCCAAACCTGTTCTTCCAGAATAGCTGAACATACATTTGTTTTATCTTGAACCATTGTTAACCACTGTAATTAGTAAATTACATGTGTTAACTATAGTATTTCATAAATCTTGACATGTGCATGAACCTGAAACTATCATTACAGATTCATAATGCTGTAATGCTGACCATATCTGTCTCTGTGTAATTAGTTCCTGACATCTTTTAATCTGTACCTGTTCTTCACAGCTTTCCCAGTTTCCCTGGATTTACATTCCATTTTAATAGAAAACTTTATTTTTCTTTTCTTTCTTTTCTTTCTTTCTTTCTGTCTTTCTTTCTTTCTTTCTTTTCTTTTCTTTTCTTTTCTTTTCTTTTCTTTTCTTTTCTTTTCTTTTCTTTCCTTTTCTTTTCTTTTTTTTTTTTGAATGCTTAGGAATTTTTCTTTTTTTAGTTTCTTTATTGATTACTAGAAGCCCAGGTCACAAAATTCGTGCATTGGGGGGTGGTGTCCCTCAGCTCAGCCAGTACCCTTACCAATCTGGGACCCTCTCAAGGGATGTCCGACTGCTCATTTAGGCCTGATCGCCCACAACTGCCCTCCCCTGCCAGCCATCTTGTGGCAGCCATCTTGTGTCCACATGGGGTCAGTCATCTTTGACCACATGGGGGCAGCCATGTTATGTGTTGAAGTTACGGTCAATTTGCATATTCTTTTTTTTAAAAAATATATTTTATTGATTTTACACAGAGAGGAATAGAGAGGGATAGAGAGTTAGAAACATCGATGAGAGAGAAACACCGACCAGCTGCCTCCTGCACACCCCCCACTGGGGATGTGCCCGCAACCAACGTACATGCCCTTGACCGGAATCGAACCCGGGACCCTTCAGTTCGCAGGCCGATGCTCTATCCACTGAGCCAAACCGATCCCGGCAATTTGCATATTCTTTTTTTTTTTTTTTTCCTAAATATTGTATATTTTATTGATTTTGTACAGAGGAAGGGAGAGAGATAGAGAGTTAGAAACATCGATGAGAGAGAGTCATCGATCAGCTGCCTCTTGCACACCCCCCACTGGGGACACGCCCGCAACCAAGGTACATGCCCTTGACCGGAATCGAACCCGGGACCTTTCAGTCCCCAAGCCGACTATCCATTGAGCCAAACCGGTTTCGGCGCATATTATTCTTTTAGTAGAGGCCCGGTGCATGAAATTCGTGCATGGGGGTAAAGGGGGTTTGTCCCTCAGCCCAGTCTGCACCCTCTCCAATCTGGGACATCCCTCTCACAATCCCAGACTGCTGGCTCCCAACTGCTTGCCTGCCTGCCTTCCTGATTGCTTCTAACCTCTTCTGCTTTCCAGCCTGATCACCCCATAACCACTCCCCTGCCATCACTGATTGATGTCTGACTGCTCCCCCGGCAGCCCGTTTGCCCCCAACTTCCCTCCTCTGCCAGCCTGGTCACCCCTAATTGCCCTCCCTTGTAGGCTCAGTCCCTCCCAACTGCCCTCCCGTGCTGGCCATCTTGTGGTTGCCATCTTGTGTCCACATGGGGGCAGCCATATTGTGATGGTAAATCTGCATATTACTCTTTTATTAGATAGGATAGATGCCTGGTGCACAGGTGGGGGCCAGCTGGCTTGTCCTGAATGGAGTCCCGGATCAGGGTGAGGGTTCCCTTGGAGCGTGGGGCAGCCTGAGTGAGGGGCCTTGTAAGGGTGTGCAGGCAGGCCATGGGCCCAAGCAACCTAAGCGGAGGCCCTGGTGTCTGGAATTTATTTACCTTCTACAATTGAAACTTTGTAGCCTGGAGCAGAGCCAAGCCTCCTGCTTGCTCCAAGACAACAGCTGTTTCTGTTGGATTTGTTTACCTTTTTTTCTTTTTCTTTTTTTCTTTTTTTTAAAATAATATATCTTATTGATTTTTTTTAACAGAGAGAAAGGGAGAGAGATAGAGAGTTAGAAACATTGATGAGAGAGAAACATCTACCAGCTACCTCTTGCACCCCCTACCGGGGATGTGCCCGCAACCAATTCCATACCTTGGCTGGAATCGAACTTGGGACCTTTCAGTCCGCAGACCGACGCTCTACCAATTCCATACCTTGACTGGAATCGAACTTGGGACCTTTCAGTCCGCAGACCGACGCTCTACCACTGAGCCAAACTGGCTTCGGCTTGTTTACCTTCTATAATTGAAACTTTGTAGCCTGGAGTGGAGGCTTAGGCTTCTGTTGCCAGAGAAACCTAAGCCTCTGTGGCTGCAGCCATCTTGGTTGGAGTTAATTTGCATACAATCTCTGATTGGTTGGTTGGCATGGCTTGTGGAGTGAAGTGATGGTTAATTTGCATATTATTTATTAGGTAGGATGGTATCACATAATTGTACTCATCCCCCCCCCCCCATTCCCATCCCAAACCCCTCCCCACGTATAACTTCACCCCCGTTATCCGTGACCAATGATTAGGCTTATATGCATGCATACAAGTCCTTTGGTTGATCTCTTCCTCCTTTCCCCTACCCTCCCCTACTGAGGTTTGACAGTCTGATCAATTCTCCCCTGTCTCCGGGTCTGTTTTTATTCATCAGTTTATGTTTTTCATTATTTCCCCTAGATGTGTGAGATCATGTGATACAAGAAATATACTTATAAGAACCTAAAATGAGACAAGCCGTAATGGTTATGGTGAGAGGCACATGAATTAGTCTGTAGTGAGTTTCTGGGCCAACAGTTCCTTTGAGTCCCAATTTCAATGCCTAACAGTTCCTTATGTGTACATGTCAGCAATGATATTTCAGTTCTGGGTGATGGACAAATGGTAATGCAAGTCCGACCGTCTCTGGTGTGGTCCTGGACAACCTTCAACAACTTGCTGTCTGCTAGTATGACAAGGCATCATCAGCATCTTCCATCTCTGGACTGTTTCTCTTTTGTCTTCATGGCTGGAGCAGTTCTGTCAATTCTTCTCTGTTGCAGGAATCCACGTGGACTTGGAGTTGTTTTTTGAAAATACACAAATGTATTCTTGACCAAAAGTTAATAAAGGAATATTTTCTATAAATTTGACTTGGGATCCTTTTTCATTTTTTGCCCAGATGATTT